TGGATTGCTTTTAGGGGATCGTTGCCCGTGCTGGATGTCACCAACGACACTGCTACCACCTCTACATGTACCGGCGTACACTAGCCGGAGCTTGCGGCGTTGTTAGGAATGGTACGAGGAGGCTCGGCGTATCCTATTCTCGTCACTGGAACTTTTATCAAACGGGATGGCTATTTCGAGCTTGGCCGTGTTGTGCATGGATGTTGTGTTCGACTGAGTCGAGCTTTGTTGGCGGTGAGTTGGCTTCGTTGAGGCACAATCTCTGACATATCTTGGCAGGAGATACTACTAAAGAGAGGACAATGAACCTAGTCCGAATCAGCGCCACGGTCTTTATGCTGGGACACAGAACCAACGTCAACAGGTTCAGCCCATCGCCATTTCACACAAAAAAAGGGGGTCTCTAAACTCTACAGGCCATTCTCTCCCTGACATAATCATCGTGGAGATATGGAGGACACCACGAGGCCATAATGAAAAAAAGAGAGGAGAGAAGCAGTGGAAGCAACCGGCCCCATCAAGCACATCAACGCCGTATGTATACTCGCCACCAGCAACCTCCCAGATCTCTCTCCAAAGATAGTTGCAGCCGTGGTTCCAGAGGTGTGCTGGGAGAAGGCGACATATATGGACTGAATGGCATACGGGACAGACAGGCCCCGGGGAGCGTATGGCTCGAGTGTGGTTGGTACGATCAGAGACTGGGATGGTAGAGGAGGCTGTGCACTAACGAAATGTCAATCCTATTCGCAAATCCTTTTTGGGCAGTGCACGTCACGTTTTGCCAAGGGATGGTCAAACAAGACTCTGCGCGGTTTCGTGCATTCATAGAGCGTTAACTTGGTGTTCAATATCATTTTATGCATTTTTAAGCAATAATTTTACTGTGAATATTTTGTAAATTTCGTCGCGTCGGCCAATGGTAGCGCGGAGTGGATCGGTGAACGCGTTTAGCGCCATTGAGCAGGCCGAGGCCATCCCCATTCCTGACAAAAACCGGGCAATCAAAAAAGAGCGCTCGTGTTCGCAAAGTGTATTCACCCCCTGGTTATAAAAAGTAACCCGCCATATGCACTCCGTCCTCACCCCCACACTCTTCTCCTCCTCTTCTTCTCTTCAAGAACTCTCAGCATGCTCGTTAGACAACTCGCTGTTGCGTCCGTGTTGTTGTACGGATCGACGAATGCGTTGTGGGTGCGAGACGTGAATGGGAATTGGGTTCGACCCAGTTGGGAAAAACGCGCAAACCAGGGCGACGTGCTCAAACTGCCATTAACCAACAAGGGCAACAAATCCTACAGTGTATGTCACCGCAATCACACTAACATAATGGTACTCACGCCCCGGGTTAGACACCTGTAAAGATGGGCACTCCGTTCCAAGAGGTGCAGATGGCCGTGTCCCTCAGCCAAAACTATATCTGCGTAGCGAGTAGCCAACAACAAGGTGCTTCCGGATTGTGAGTCGGTCATTTCCGTTCCAATCCCGCACATTACTAATACTCTTCCCCCCTTCCTCGGTGGCTATTGTCAGTTATAATCCAACGGCTTCTTCGAGTTACTCTGCCGGCTCGAGCAGCGTCGCATTCACAAATACTGCGGGTACAGCCGTACAGGCTAGCTTTGCCTCGGAAACGTGCGATGTGGCCGAGTTTACTTACAATGCCTCGGGTACGCGGTCTCACCTTTTTATGTAATCCCAGTCTGACTCTGACGATGTCTGTAGTGGCTATTACTGCACCCGCTGTGACGGATACGCTTTACCCTGATGGATGCCATGGTATCCTCGGGTACGGTGTCGATCCGAAACCAGACGTACCCACCAATAGCACCCTCTTGGGTGTCTATCTCCCGTGAGTAGAGGTGCTCGTGAGGTTGCATTTTCTGACCGAGTTTGCAGGTCTGGGTTGAGGAGTACAGAGGCTGTTTGTGGTATTGAGCTCAATAGGGACGAGCCCGGTTTACAAGGTGGGACATTTACCATGGGTGGAAAGGACGAGACTGCGTATGTGCATTTTTTACTAGAATGGTGACGAGTACTGACTCTTGTCTAGTTTCACTGGCGAGTTTACCGTTTTGAACGTCCCCGGTGCGGATGCTGCCCCCAATCGACCATCCTGGACAGTCCCCCTTGACGACATCAGCGCTCGAGTCAGTGAGACCTCGGACAACTCGACCAGTTTCCTCCAAGGTGGATTCGCCAGCATCGATCCTTACTGTACGTCCCCCACACCGCACCACAAAACCCATTCCTAACCAATCCATTCCTTTAGACCCGTACTTGGCTATTCCAGGAACGGCGGCGAGCAATTTGTACGCCCAAGTGGAAGGAGCGACCGAAGTCCCCGCGACGACCGCATCCACTGGTCTTTCCACTGGCAACAGACGCTACACTGTCCCTTGCGGATCAAAGGTGACCCTCACCCTCACGTTTGGTGGTAAATCCTTCCCCATGGACATTCAAGATTTCATCTCGAAAGAAGGGGACGTGTGCTATGGCACGATCGAGGTCAGCGAGGACGATATTTACAAGATTGGAAGCCCGTTCATGAGGAACGTTTACACGTATGTCGCAATCTTACTTTTCACTGATGTTTTACTGATTGGGCGTTTAGGACTTTTGGAGCCATCTTTGATGATCAAGGCGCCCCGACATTCAACGTTGCGTTCGCAGATAAGGCAACTCGCACAGCTACCACCGGATCTGGAACTCCTACTGGCTCTGCTTCAGCCACCGCGACCGTCTCCAACGGTTCAACGGGTAACGCCTTCATGAACGCCCCCACCACATCGTTGGTCTCGCTCTTATTGGGTGCCGCTGCTTCTCTCTTGCTCTAAAGACTATACATGTTAGAGGAGAGATAAAATATGGACTCGGTTTTTTCGTTGGTGCTTTTAATGGACAGCAATACTTTTATATGTGACGTTTCTTGTTGTAAGTGCTCGGTCTCTCTGTTTTATACTCTTTACCAGTCGAGCCGAATAATTGCGGGGTTTGGGCCATGATGGCCACTCGCTTCTACCATTCGATGTAGTACATATACTTCAGAATAAACTACGTTGTTTGGTCTATCCTATCTTTATATATGTGAGCGAATGATGAGATCCGGGTTTTTTTTGCAAAAGTTGGGGGTTTGGCGAGGTTGAGGTGAGGATCAGGCGACCCTGCGAGACGCTTCTTCATTCAAAAGAGGAGAATGTCCTATGGCCAAGGCTGCTCTAGATAGATATACACTAGGAAATATCGTGGGGTGGATAAGGGTCTTTGTCAATGTCGATTTGGGGTGGAATGGTGGGTGTATGGTAGCAGCCCGAGTAGAAGCGAGGGGTGGGGTCTCGGCTCGGCAACTAAACTCCTTATAAGGGATGCAATAGAGGTAAGAGTCTATTTATTTACAGAGTGAAAAGGTTATATTCGATAACTAGTTGTAAAATCACTGGTGGTGGGAGCAAAATCGATTAGCGATTGTATCACAGAAAAGTTGGGCAAGAAAGGGAGAGAATTCGAGTTCGTGTATAATGGGTTACAATGTCAAGTAAGAAGTTAAAACCGCAAAACTGAAGAAAGAAAAGGCGTTGATACGAAACAAAGTCCACGATTGGGAAGCATCAAGTCTCGGGACCGATTTCGCTATCTTCACCTACATATAACAGCCGGATTATGTTTTAGCACAGGATTCATGGGATGTACAAAGTATAGATACCTAGGCGAACTATCAACCGATGGTAAAGTCGGTATCACATGCAAACACCTTGCTCCCGGGGCCTTTCGCAGATAAACCTGATGCCTTCACCTTGGCGCGCACAGTTACATGTAATCCTTGACATTCAATCTGGGCCCCATTTTTGGCTTCCACGCCAGCGCCTTTCTTTGGTACGGAGGACTTGTTCTTTGGCGTGCCGTTTGTCCAGCTGCTACCACTCGAGGTCTCGCTGACTGGGCTGTGGCCTGGAATCTACTCAGCAATCATGGGTGTATGGCACTCGAAGACTATACCTTCAGGTTCGCTATTGTTTTCAGGCTCCATGGAGGGTTCAGCTGGAGCCTTCAAGAAGATTCGCAGAATCCGGGCAAGCAAGACGCGAGGGGCATTGGAAACAGGAGTGTTTGACATCTTAAAGGCGTATTGTCAACGTCAAAATCTGGAGATTTAGATCTCTACAATGGCCAGAAGAATCCCCT